GGCCCCCCCGGGGAAGAAGGAATAGTGGTAAAACACAAACTAGAAAACAAGATGAAAAACAATTTTTTCCTTTGGTTTTACAGAAAAAACGATAGTTTAAAAAATTTGGCCAGAAGAGACAGTCAATAATTTTTTTTTAAAACTGACTGTCAAATATTATAAAACAATTCGACGGGACCAACAATTGGTATCTCGCCCTGAAATCGTTTAGCCGCAACTCTTCACGATAGAATATTGGCCTTTGTTTGAAATAAATCTTGCTAATCGTAAAATGACTGCGTCCAATGAAATTTTTCGACCGCAGCATCAACCCGTAATGTGGAATATATGATTACAACATGGTAAAGTAATGGAAGAAGTATTTGTAAACAAGTGATTAAACATAACTCGGGATTACAATTCTTCCCCTAAAGAACTGCTTTCGAATGATATGAAATTTTAAAGTAGTATCTAAATTAAATTGAGACTGTGGCGTGGTAATAAGTGACTCGGCGGCCCCGAACAAACGGATGAGTTAAGATTCGCTCCGCTGCACAGTTTTCGATTCTCGGCGGTTCTGGAGAAGCCTAACGGGCTGGAAGTTCTCCGTAATAAGGTCTTTCTTTTTCTCGCCCTTCTCCACCACTCGACGTCAGTTCTTCGCTCCGTTCCCGTATTTTTGTCGGTATTAGCATATTTTTTGTCACCAGACATCTCCCGGGCACCTTTACTCATTTGCTGCCTTATTCTCTCCTCGACCCGTCTGATTCACTCGCCTCACTGTATCATTTCTCTCCAGACAGTCTGTTCAGCGAATACATTTGACATTCGGTTTTCCTCCGTCGTCACATGATCAGTCTGCATCCAGTCTGATTGGGTCTGTGTCGAGTACAGTCGTCGTGATCGGTCCGTTTGATCAAGTACACCGTGAACTGTCGATTTTTTTTTTTGGGCGTTGTAAGTCTTGGATCAGATTTGGTGATCTCCTTTCCCTTTACTTTGTGACTGAGGGGAGTCCCAAGTACTTTGTCGCATCAGGGGGAATTCCCTTCTTATTTCGTTTATGTTAATGTTTCGTTTAAGTTACTGTTCGTGATTAGAAACAAACACTTTTTCAATACCACTCGGCATTATATGAATTATAATACTACATTTTCAAATTGCTTGAACAACGAAATTGCATTCATTGTGGCACAAACGAAAGTAAACTTTTTTTTATGTGGTACTACTTGGAGCAAACCACAGCAAAATACTAGTCCCGGTATTGGGGAGACTGTTCCACAAATCATTTTAACGAATGGGAAACAACTTCAGGAGCATATGGACAGAATAGACAAGAAATTTGAATTTCGATTGCGAATCGAATAGACTTCGTTCTGATTTTTTCTTATTCTTTTTAATATTGAAAAGCGGTATATAATAGTACAAAATCATGGTGTCCTGACCCTGCAAGTTTTCGATTGCGTTTTGGCTGATTTTATATCGATCTAATGTATGGGTTTTAAGTTGATATGTGTGGTTTAAAAATAATATTCATTGAAGTTGAGGATATAATGCTAGTTTTAGTACATACAGAAATAAAGGACAATTGGGGAATGTTCAATCAAGTTAAGGGACAAGGAAATAAGTAATCACTAGCCAGATGTTTTTTCTCCTAATAAAATAGTCCGATATACACAATCGTCTAGGCCGTATTCGACAAACTACAAACAAAATATTCAGTGCTGAAAATTCATGCTCGTAAGAGCTCCAACTCATTTGCTGCGAAATTAAGCAGCCACTTGATTTCTTCTTTCGCGCCATACTTTTCATATTTTTCTCTACCATATGTAAGTGATCTCCATAATTCTTCCACTGTAGCAAATCTGCTCTACATATAAAATTTTCCCAGGAACTGGCCGCTGCGGGTGGCCACCGATTAAATCTGAGCTGATCTAGTTCAGAGATGCGGGCCTTGATCTAAGTGGCAGACGACTTCAACAGAGCCATGGGGATGTACTGCGTACGTACAATGGTGCTCACGGGTACGGGTGAGGCGGATGCGTCCGGGAGGGGCAAAGCGACGAACCCGGACCTGGAGCTGCAGGACCTGCGGCCGCACCTCGGGCTCGCTCCTCGCGGCTGGCCGCTGGCCGCCGCCGCTTCTGCGCCAGAGCTCGCGCGCCCAGTCGGTGGGGTGCCAGCGCGTGCGCAGATGCGCAGATTCTGCGCGCCCTGCTCGCGCCGTTTCGTGGCAGTCCAGGCGAACTTTCCCCTCGGCGCGCGTAGAAATGCGAACTGAGACCTGGGGGGTCCCAGGGGATCCCTTTTCAAGCTTCTGATTTCAAGAAGTATTCTTCTCGAGTGATCATTTTGTGTCATTTTCCTCACAAAAATCCCTGCTAGCGCAAAACTAATATTTTCATAATATACCGAGTTGAAAAATCTGTAAGTCTTTGGACGGCGGGAGTGTTTCTGCATTTTGCATAATTTCGAATTTAAATAATTAATGAAACGAACGCAAAGCATTGTACTTACTTGCCCTGACTGCATTGTTAGATAGCTGTTGGCAACACTGGCCGATGGAGGACGCACGCTTTTGCTTCGACATTCCTGTCGATGACTGTCAAGCACAATCGAATTAGTTAAAGTAGTTTTTGATAATTTTATTCTATTACTTGTAGTATTGTTCTGTTTATCTTGTTAACAAGGCTGACACTTGGGGAACAGATGAAGAATGGATCCAAATTGAGTTTATGAGCGGCTTGATTTACACCAACTTTGAATGCTTTTTAAAAACTGTAAGACAGTTGAGTAATTCATCTTACTTAATTCATATATTCTAATAACAAATTTATTTTTATTTTTTTGTTACATTTCGTTTTTTTAGGTTTTTGAAACAAATGTATCATAAACTACCCTAACCATAATCTAGCTACATTCTGCGATTCGTAAATGTATAACATTAAAAATGTCATTGAATAGTTGTTGTTTTTATCTACTCTCTCAATTAACTACACGAAGCTGTTGATGGTGTGGGAAACTGTTCTTGTTGAGAAAAGCAATCGCAGTGCTAAACGCGCCCGAATTGAGTAAGTATCAAAAGCCGGAAGCTTCAACGCTTAATATAAAAAGTAACGCAAATGACACATTAGAAATAGTAGTTGTACCCTGCATTCGTTATTGTGCTAATTTCCCCTTCTCTCCCCGTTTTCTTTCTCTCGTTTTTCTCCCTGTTTTTTCTCATCTTTTCTTTTTACCTTTTTTCTCCTTTTTTCGGCTTCTATTTTTCTCCATCTTTTTCATCTCTTTGGTCTTTCTTTCTCCTTCAATTTTCGGACCTCTGATTCTCACTCTTTCTCCCTCTTTTCTCTTTATTTCTCTCTTTTTCTTCCTTTTCTTTTCTTATTTCTCTTTACTTCCCATCTCTCATTATTTCTGCCTATCTCTCTCTTTCCATATCTTCTTTTTTCTCCCATCTCCTTTTCTCCTTATTATTTTTTCTCCCATTCTCTCTTTTTTCTAACCTATGTCTTTTTATTTACCTATCGTTTTTTTATTTCTCCCCTATTTTGTTTATTTTTACAACGTATCTTTTTTCCCCCTCTCCCCCTGCTCCTCCCTTTCTACTCTGTCCTCCTTGCTTCCCCTCTACTTTCTCTCCTTTTCTCCTTGCACATGTAACTTTCCTTCGTAACAATGAGCCGCCCCCCCCCCCCGCTGCTACGGAACCTGCTTAGATTTCTGTCCTTCAATCTCATCTACGATCTCTCAAGTGGTCTGGGACGAAAAGATATTTTCTCTCCAACCCTGCTGGTCATAAATTTACACAATCGCCGAACCTCTTTCTTTCATCGCTGTTACACTATGTATACACCCAATGCGGCCAAACAATAACTCTTGCAAATGTTGGTGGAACGGAGATTTGGATGGCAAATGAAAGAGCATAGTTTTTTACTATTATTCACTAGTCACGCCTTATTCAGTGAAGAAGAAATGCAATCAAGTTGTTCAGAAAACCGCGGACAGCAAAAGAATATGGTGTATTGACCATTTCTATTGCAAGGGAACGTTTCGATTAATAGATTACCAGAACATAATACATATGATGTTCTCAGGTATAATTTGCGTAATATAAAAGGTTTTTTCCCGCATTTTGCGCATTCCACTGTTGCGCATTCGAAATGTCCCTTTTAAATTGCCTTCTTTATTTTAGTTTACATTGCGTCTGTATGAAGCCCGTGTAATGTGTCCGGGAACCGTGAAATTCGTGGCGTCATGTGTATGGCGAGTGAACAGCGATGTCCGCAGGGCGAAGTCTCCACAGCGGCGGAGAGACGCGATGGTAGCTGGCGGAAAGACGCAGAGACCCGGCTTCGAGGCCAGGGCTGGCCCGCTGGCGGTGGGCTGTTGGAGGGCGTAGGCGGGCAAGTGGAGGCGCGGGGCTTGTGGTGTGCCGTGGGAGGGGCGGGGTCGCGCGCGGGTGCGGGGAAAGGCGGTGGTTCGCGGGGGCCGGCTTCGAGCCCTGGGGCTGGCGCTGTGGGGGGCTGGGCGGGTTGAAGAAGCGCAGGGCGACTCTGCGCTGTGGGGCAGGGCAGGTTGCGGGGCGGGGCGGTGGGGCTCGCCGGGCTTGCTTCGAGCCCTGGGGGCCTGCGCTGTGGAAGGCGTGGCGGCCATAGAGGCGCGGGGCGTGGTGTGTGGTCGTGGAGGGAGCGGGGTCGCGGCGGGCGGAGAAGGCGGCGGGGCGCGGAGGCCGGGCTTCGAGCCCTGGGGCTGGCGCTGGCGGTTGGCGCTGTGGGGGGCGGCGGGCGGGGGAGAGGGCGCGGGCGTCGTGTGTGTCGCGTGGAGGGGCGGGGCCCGCCCGTGCGCGGGCGTGCAGTGGGCGCTGGGGGCGTGGCTTGGGGCGGGGGCGGGCGGTGGGGCGTGGTGGACCTCGGGCGACGGCCCGCGCTGGCAGCGCCCTGCACGCCGCGCCGCGGCGCCGCTGCTGCTGTGGCGCCTCTGCCGCGCTGTGGACGCCGCACCGCGCCCGCGTGGCTGGAGACGGCAGGGGGCGATCCGTGCCTAGCGGCCTCACGCGCCACGACAACTCCTCGCCGTTTCCTACGTTCTATACACCTAGGACGCCGCTGTCATGACACTCTTTCCGGGGGGTGAGTATATCATGTATAGGAATGTGAAATTGTTCTAACTAAAGTTTTTTCTATTTGAAAATGTCAAACTATATTATTTCGTTGGTTTGAATTTGCAATGTCTTTTAAGCATTTTTTTGTTCTGAGATTTAATTTTATTAGCATATTATAAATGATACTGATTATTGGTTGTTGTTTCCCTCTAACCGACAGTTGGAAACAAAGCAAACAAAATAGAACTAAGTAAAGCAACTGAAGAAAACTTTTGAGCCGCACCTGCAACGTCTAGTTGTGCAAATCCTAGAGCACTACTTTCGATTATGCGTGAACACTAACTCTGTACTTCAAACTTGATGAAGTCCGTAGATGTGATAGATGTGGCTGCCATACAAACAGCCACGCTTATGCGAAGCTACTTTTTCCTACGAATCAGTGGCGCTTCAGGAAGCTGGTCTGTCAATTATATTGTGACAGAAAATTCTCGATCCCGGTCCCACCCCGGCCCGTCTCAAAGTCGGGGCCTCAACTAACAGAGGCTGGAAACTTATCGGCCCAGACACAGCCGCGTTAGTTTCACAATTGTCTCTCCGTTTTCTAACCGTTGCAATAGTAATTTGACGCAAGGTTACACAGAGCCAGAGCTCAAGCATGCAACAATCGCGAATCATCCAATACACCCATTTGTGTACATAAGGCGATATTTAAAAGTGAAAAAATGAATATTCGAGGAGACACTCCAGCGATAAGCTTTTAAACACGTGCCTTTCAACGTCAAGCGAAATATTTCTAAGCAAAATATTCATTTTGTAAAATGTTTTTTTCAGGGTTTAACCGGTGGCGCAATCATCGTTTCGAACTTTAACTACATTCTTCAGCGCCAGTCGTTTTTCTAGCGATTGGAAGAAATACCTGAAAATTTGGAATTCTGTAAGAAAGAAAACAGAGTAAAGGTATCAATTTCCACAGAATATTGAGTATCAAGAAGAATCGAGTGAGGCAAAGTATCAGAATGGATATTCAAACTCGTAAAAACAAAATAATTCTTCAGAAGACCAGCTGCGCACAAAACCACCTCAAACCTTTTTGAAAACCAGTAGCTGTCTCTGGACCGAAATTCCAAAAAGCAGACTAGAAAAATTGGATAAAGTGCATACGAAGTTCACTTGACGAAGAAATCCCGCCGTGAAAGCAACTGGGTATAACAATTGTCTTCATCTTCAGATAATTCTTCTTGAGACAACAACTTTCTCGATCCGTACAATAACATTTGCAACAAAAGGCAAATTAGATAATTCCTTTTATGAAGATTTTTGATAATCAAATTTGCAATATGCCTGGACCGTACACAAAAGTCGAATACAATACCTCGAGCGCGTGCAGAACCACTGAAACCTGTTGAGAAACTGGGGAGAAAGGACGAACTCTTGCGCAGCTTGCCCATAAGAGACAAAGGAGCGGCGGGAGGCGAGTGCGTGAGGCCGGGAGCGCGGCTGGGGCGCAGCTGCGTGCGGGGCGGCGGCGTGCTTGGCGCGCTGTGGCAGCGCCACCAGGCTTCCGCGGGCTGCTGCTGCGCGAACGGGAGGGGGCGGGGCGCTGGTGGGCGGCTGGCCATCGATGTTCGTGGCCCCCGAGGGGGGGAGAGGGAGCTGGCTCACCCCGTGTGAGGAGGCGAGTGCCGCAGTGAGGCATGCGCGCGCGAGGCCAAGGCGCTGGTGGCAACTCGCTCCAGGGACCTCGGAGGCAAGGCCTTGTATTACCTCCTTAGACAAAATGCAAAGACGAAACTCACAAGTGTAGTAATTGATGGAATCAAGATCCGACTTGCAGGACCGGAGTATCTCAAACGAAGAGAGCTAGAAACGAGACTTCATCTTCGTATTTTTAGAAAAGACATCAGAAATATTGTCACAAGTTTGGAGGTAAGAAATCTGTTCAATTACTTGCAATTTTTAGGTTTTTCTCGCACAAGGGAGAGACGTGGACACGAAGGCGGACTGCGATGCGGACTGCGAGACGCACTGCGAGGCGTACTGCGAGGCGGACTGCGAGGCGGAATGCGAGGCGGACTGCGAGGCGGGCTGCGAGGCGGAATGCGAGGCGGACTGCGAGGCGGAATGCGAGGCGGACTGCGAGACGGACTGCGAGGCGGACTGCGAGACGGACTGTGAGGCGTCTGCGAGACGGACTGCGAGGCGGACTGTGAGGCGGACTGCGAGGCGGACTGCGAGACGGACTGTGAGGCGGACTGTAATCATAGAGTATGCAACTCATTGTTATTATTGCTTCATTGCATTCATACAACTTTAAAAACTCGTAGCAAACGTCGCCTGTTTTCAAAATATTTTTTCTTGCAACAATGCTAAAGATTATGAACTATTGCTTCAAAAATACCATTTAATGCAAAAACCTATTTTGATTAAAAAAGTAGTTACATCAAAATGGAGGACAAACATTCCAATTTCATATATATTAGAAATATTCTCTTCTAACTATGCACGTATAAGGATGATTGATCCTAAATTTATAATTCTTTGTTAATTTCATTTGATTTGACATCCATTAATGCTAAGATTTCCCCTGAAGTAAGAATGCTCTATAAATCCTTTATATAAAGTCTCTGATACCGCTTTAATTAGTAAAATCTACATTATCAGAGAAGTGTACCAAATAATTTTATGATGCTAAACCAATTTCATCCAGACAACTTTGTTTATCCTCCCTTAAATATGACTTTAGACTTGTAATGTTTCAGGGACTACACAGCGGAAAATCGTACACAAGAGGTTCGGATTATATACGTGATGTGATATTTAATCGCGCGGATTTCACAGTAAATTGGTGCCTCCCCGAACATGGCCAGTTGCTTTCCTGTGACATTGTACCGACGTCACAATTAGTTTCTTACATGATAGCGGCCGTACCTTCCTCATCAAAGCTGCCGGCGTGGTCGCTGCCGCTGCGCGTGTTCTCCCCGCGCATCTGGCTGGCGCTGCTGGGGGCGGCGGTGGCGTACGCGCTGGCGTGGCGCGTGGTGGCGGGCGAGTCGCTGGCCGCCAGCGCCGCCGCCGCGCTGCGCGCCTTCTCCTCGTGCGGGGGCGCCCCGCAGGACAGGGTGCGCGCCACGCCGCAGCGCCTGCAGCTGGCCGCCGCGCTGCTCGCCTCCGCCGTCGTCGTCGCCGCCGCCTACCAGGTGAGAACACAGCCCTCTCCATATTCATTTGCTATGCTCGCTTGCTTTTCACTAGTCAAAATTAGGAGAAAGTTTGCTTCGTCATTTAAGTTTTTATTGGTTTAATAGGTAGTGCCAGTTCTGTATAAATAAGTATTCAGCCTCATATCAGAATCATCGAAAAGCAAAAGTATATTTACATCCTTTATTCTCCTGTTTTTAGAATCTAATTATCATTTGATTATTTTGGTCGCCACAATTTGCAGCTTTTGGTCCTTCAGTAGTGAATGTCTGATACGCGAGTATCTCTCCATCGATAATGTTTTCTAGTGCGGTAACTACTGAGACCATGGAACCGTTATTATTGTGTATGTTTAATTCCGGAAGCATTTACATCCAGCGCTATGTAGTAAGATCCGGCATAACACTACACGTCGCCTTGAGGCGGATTTCTATCTCCAGGTGTCGCCACAACTGGGCAACGCCGCATCAGTAACGCACGTGGACAAACCTCATCTTCATTGTGAACCGAGCCACTCACATTGGCCATGGGCGTGGACCTGATAACCGGGAAAATTTTCATGATTATTTATTACTAATGAAAATATGAAAACAATGTAGTTTGGGCGTTGAAAGATATCAGTTAACAAGGGTAAGTGGCAAGTCAGCATAATTAGCCAAGACCAAAGGGAATAGAAAACTATAACTCGAAATTCTGTGCCTTTCTGTAGAACCACTAGTTGAAATGTCAATTACAGTTTTGAACAATTAGTCCTTTGAGGGTAGCAACGTCAAAACCTGCGCCGCCAGAAAAGAAAATCAGCTGATACCTATGTAAATTCAAATTGATCGAAAAACATCTAGATACTCTTTCTGAATAAGATTAACTAAGTGTTTTATTTTCTGTGTATGTTTTGAATCGTTTATTTTGCACTGGACCAGGCCTACAGTGATATATCACACAGTTCAGGAGATGGCCGTTTAAAGTTAGATTCTACACTAAATCAAGATTCTGTTTTACAATAATATTAATTGCGAAGAGCTGAGTTTTCCAACTGTAAACATTTTATATATTTATTTATATTTATTCAAGAATACATATTCAGTTGAGGAATATTATAATATTTACTCTACTCAGAAACAACTGCAGATATTTAATGTTGTCAGCCCTATTCCAATTGTTCTTGAATATGCCTTGTTACATGAGAACCTGTTTCGAATTACGAACATGATTTGTAGCGTCAACAGTTCTAAATCACGATAGTGAAGGCTTGCGTTGTAGTTGTTAGAATCTGCCGATCAGACCAGCCTCATCCTAGTAATCCCACCCAGTCGGCAGCTGAAATCGAACTAGCTATGCAGCGAGAGTCGAGTGTCCGCCGCAGGATTCGAACCCTAGAACCTCCTGGCCAGAGTCAGTGAGAGGTATTGGCAATGATGATTCTTGGATACGTTCAGACGACATTACGAGCATAAAAATTATAAAAACAAATATAAATATAAAAGCAAACATATTGGAAATCTGATGATCTGGTTCTTGTGTGAAACTGTATCACCACCGTAAAGTATCAATGTTTTCATTTGTACAGCGAATTACCTACTAAACGAATGATTCTTTTCTAGGGCCGTCTCTTCGACCTGATTATGGTACCCCAACGCTACCCGGACATTAAAACTATTGACCAACTGATTGCTTCCGGAATGACAGTATTAGCTCCTATAGACTCTCAGCCTAATGTAGAGAAGATGAAATTATTTTGTTCACAGACAAATGACAGTGTTTGTACAGAAGAGACAATCAAATATTTTGTAAACTCGAATGTCAAATATTATAATAATTCGAGGGACCAGCAATTGTATCTGGCTGAAAATCGTTACGCTGCACTTTCAACAGATTTACATTGGTCTTTGTTGATATCTACAAATCGCCGACAGATTGGGTCAATGAAATTTATTGACACAACGTCACCTGAATGGGAATATATGATTACGAAATGGTAAGTAATGTAAGTAGTATATAATTTGTAACGACGAGATTCAAAATAACCCGGTCTAAACCTTCTTACTAAATCTTCCTAAAGACTCCTTCGAACGAATATGAGTCGAAGTGATAATAATTAATTGTGACCCGGGCGCCGCAAAGTTGCAGTATAGTTGAATCGCTGCTGTCGATTTGCGCGTCGATCGGGTGGCATTGCTGAGGTTGGCGTTCTTCCCCTGCAGCGATTGCCCCATGATGAAATCATCAGCCAAACCCCGGCCGATGGCGCGGACCCTGTACCCCTGTACTCGCCCCCCTCCCCCCCGCCACGCGTCCTCAGCAGGACATCTATCGGACTGCACTCACTCGCCTATGCCTCTCTGACTAACACGTCTGCTCCTATGGCTCCCGGAATCTGGCTGTCCGTCCGTCCGTCTCCGGACACACGTTTGCGTTCATCTCGCTGCTCGTCGCGTGATCAGTCTAGTTAGTCTGTTTGGAGCAAAGTCGTCGTGATTCGTCCGTATGGTCACGTGCAAGGTGAATCCGGGATTTCTCTCTATTTTGGCGTCGTGAGACTGGCATCAGCTTGCGTGAATCTCCTTTTCTTTTATCTCGTCAGCTACAAAGGTATCACAAAGTACTTTGTCGCAGTCAGATGGTAAAGGCCCTTCCATATTTTATCTATTTCGCCCTTGCGATGCTTTCCCTTGCCTGCTTTCCCTTGAGATGGATTATGAATCTTTGTACGAACACTGTTTAGTAGTTTCGTTACAAAATATTTCAATTTTTTAACATATGGTAGGTCCTAAAAATTACACGTAAAATTGCTTCTATTTTTCTAAAAACGATTGTGGCTATGACTGTTTAAAACATATCAATTGAAACGAGTAAATAGAAACAAACAAGTTTATCTCTAACACTATTGAATTATATACTACAATTAAAAATATTGAAAATGTGATTGCATTCATTGTGGAAAAAAATTATAATTTTCTTTCTATCGTCCTGTAGAGGAAAACAACCATGATTTATATAGTTGAGGACGATGTTCCACAAATAATTCGACTGGTAACATTCCTCGAGTATACGTATGGAGCAGTAAAATGTTTAAGGTTTTTCAAATATAAAAAAACCTATTTAAATCAAATTTTCGGATACAAGGTTAACTTAGTGACCTCAATGAATAATAATTGCATTTCCCCAGAATGTATTTTCCTCTATCACTTGATTAATCTTAGAGAATGTGACAAACAAGAAAAAGTGTTTTGTAGGTAGGATCCGTATATGTATGTAATGTACTTTCCTGTTTTAACTTTTGTACAATTGTTCCATTTCAGAAATGTAATCACTAGGATCCAGCATGATTAGATTTGTATTCGGATCTGTCCTACACCTTCCTTATGTGCACCAGATATTTCATTTTCAATGCAGAAAATGTATGCTAAACCTCCTAACCACTTATTTTTAACCTTATCGATTCTTCTAGATTGAAAGTTTTCTGCAAACCTTCACTCAGTTTAATTTTATGAAAAACGTCGAGCACTTTTTATTTCTTATATACATACATGGTGTAGAGAATGTTATGTAATGCTGCGAGAAATCCGGCAAATTTTCGGCTGGAAAAAATCAATTGATGGGAGCTCATAACGAAAAAGAGGATACGTCTAAAAGCTAAATTAAGAAAAATCCCCGTATAGAAATTTCCGTTTTGAAAACACATATTCTAGTCAGAATTCCTGTTTTGTGGGACCCTGATACCAATAAATGAATTGACGGCAAAACGTCCATCCGTCTATGACTGATGTAAGTGAACAACACCAGCGCTTAAACTCTGAGATTTTTTCTCAACTGAATTAACCGCAGTCTGTGTGGAAGCGCTGGGATATTCGAAAAACATTGATTAAATTTTGTAAGTACTTTACGCTCCTGCAATTTTTTAAATTTTTTCTCAAATACCACTCTAATTGTGTTCTATAAATTTCGTGTAAGAAAGAAGTAAAATACAATTATATTGATGGTATATGTTAAATTTTTACTGTTAGATCTGAATATTCAAAAATTTCAAAAATTTGAAATTTTTTCGCCGCTTTCCTACATACACGAAATTGAAAAAAAAGATGATTCCTTTAATTAAAATTTAGGGTACATACTTCCTTCTTTAAAACATCATGAGATTTTTTCAAACTTTTAGTAGTTAGAAAGGGAATATTGCGTGAAGTGTGTGAAACTTAAAAAAAAATTTTAAAAACAAGTTTTTCTCAGAAACGGTTCAAATTTTTTACGAAAACTTCTAAACCTTTTGGTAGTGATAATACTAAATGTACTCTAAATGGTAACATAAACTTAATATTGCTTTTGTTTTTCGTTGCAAAGTCATTTTTTTGCTTGTTACTAAGGTCGTTAATATTTACACTACCCGCAATTTCTTTCCATTACTGCTTTTACAAGCACATGTGCTTTAATTGAAATCTTATATATTTTCTCAAAAACTCAACAGTTTTCTGCGAAAATAAGCTCAAAATTCCGCATTTTTACAAAAATAGCTTAAAATTTTTCCTGTAACTTGTGGATCGGGTAGTGCTAACTGCCCCTGTTGAAGATGGCATAAGTTTATTTTTGCAGTATTATTTTGATTTTTCATAAATTACAAAATCTATTTTCTTTTAAATATATCTCACGCGGTTAATATGCACATTTCCTCCTATTTCTATACATTATTACATTTGTGATTTCAAGGGATTAAAAGTTACTTTAAATAGAGGTTTTCGAAAACTCGTTAGATTTTTGTGAAAATGAGCTTCAAATTTCTCATTTTGAAACCATCAATGAAAATTTCCATACAGGACGAGGCTTTACTCATCTTCAAGATTTTGAATGTATATTTCTTATCTACTATTAGGAAATCGAAAAATTGTGAAAGCCTGAACGTCAATATTGGTGGCGGCGATAGATGGCAACTAACAAGAATTTCGGGCAGGAATATAAAGCTAGCCCTCTCCAAGGAAATTAGAAAACAGTAAGAGGAGAAAGCCCGTGATATTTTGTAGATGAACTAATTTTAATCTCAGTAAATGAAAGAATGATCTTTTGTTATTTCGAAACTCTTTTAGTTAATTTTTCTGATTCTTTGAACATTGAAACTCGTACATAATAATAGAAAATACATGGTGTGCTGGCCATGCTAGTTTTCAGTTGAATATCTGTCTAATATTCTAATTCATGGTTTTTTAATTTGATTTAATTGTGACGAAACAAATCTAAATTCCATGCGGTACTTATGAGGGTATAATGCTAGGCTTACACTAACCAGCAAGTAAGGACAATTTTCGAGTTCTTCAACAGGTGAAGTAAAGGGAATTAAAACCAATAGGCAGCTTGATATTTTCCTCCGAACCCAATAGACTGTTTCTAGTCGTATTTGACAAAGTACTGCAAAAACTTCATTGCTCTTAGCAAAATGCGAAAAACCTTACAAAAATCCATGAAAATTATCTTAAAAATTCTTACACTGACTTCTGAGCTCAAATTCATTTATTGGCAAAATTGTTAAGCCAATTATTTTATTTACTCCGCAATGCATTTATACTCACCTAAGTTTTCATTAGCAAACCGAAGTGCTTCCATAACTCTCTGCCTGTTGCAAAGCTACCTCTACTTCTACATTTCCAGGAACTGGCCGTGGGTGGACGTGATCAATCTGAAGCTGATTCAGTTCCGAGACCGGGCCTTGATCCAAGGGGCAGACGACTTCAACAGAACATGGGGGATGTACTCTCGTATGCGCACATGAGATACCTAAGCTTAGCGGACAAGGTGGGGACGGAGGTCGGGAAAGCGACGAACCCGGACCCTGGAGCTGCAGGACCTGCGGCCGCACCTGGCGCGCTCTGCGCGGGCTGGCGCTGGCCGCCGCCGCCTTCTGCGCAGAGATCGCGCGCAGTCGGTGGGGTGCTGCGCGTGCGCAGATGCGCAGATTCTGCGCGCCCTGCGGTTCCCGTTTGCTACCAGCTCCCCGAGCAGAAACCACTTTCGGTGCACCGTAGATAGAGGAACTGAGAACTCAGGAGACCCAGGGGCGCTTTCAACACCTGATTCAATGCGTTTCTTTTTCGTGTGATCACTTCTGCGTCACATATATACAAAAAGCACTCGGAGCGTAAGCGAATATCTATGGGCAGTAGAGGGTAAACATGAGAAATAACTGGAGACGGATAGGTTTCTGATTTTTAACAACCTCGAATTAAAAAAATTGAAGATAGATGAGAAGAGCATTGTATTATGGACACGATATATTTAGGTGGTAGACTGAAGATTGACGCACATTGCTCGATGCAGAACAAACGGTTATTGTTGGGCATTCTGTCAAAGCAAAATCAAAGATGTTTAATGTTACTTTTTGTATAATATTTTCCCATTCCATGCAGTCTCCTTTTTGTTTATCAGTACTGAAGAGATGAAACTTCTGTAACAGATGAAAAAATCAGGAATCTTGAGTTACACGAAACGGCTTGATAAAAACAAATTGATGCTTTTCTAATATTAAAGACAGCTTTTTTATTTTATTATTATTTGGGTCAACTTAAGTTATTTAATTTTTTTCTTTTCAAGATAATTTTATTGGTTTTTTTTTTCTTACTCATATTTGGTTTAATGAAACAGTGTGTTATTTAATGTCCAATTTGTAAAAATACTTACATTTCTGTGATTCGTAAAATGTATTAACATAACAAATGTAATATGAATAGTGGTAGTTTTTTCTTCTTTCTGGAATGAACTAATACAAGAGTTTAGAGTGTAAAATATTTTTTTGTTGGAGCAGCATGCAGTGCTCCCATGCACCATCTTTTGTGAGTATCAAAGGCGAAAAATTGAACTGGCGAATACAATGTAAACGCTGAATTACACATATCATCTCAATTTTCACGGCTGTATGGTTATTGGGTTTATTTACAACATCTCTCTCACTCTCTCTCTCTTCCTCGCTCTTCTCTCTCTCTCTCTCTTCTCTCTCTCTCTCTGTTTCTTTGTTTCTGTGTTTTTCTCTTCCCTTCCTTTTTCTTTCTCCTTTTCTCTCCCTTTTCCTATCATTTGTCAGTTTTATCTATTTTCTCTCTTTCCCTCTCTCTCATTTCTCTTTCTCTCTCATTTCGCTGTCTCTCTTATTTCTCTTTCTCTCACAATTATCTTTCTCTCTCATTCCTCATTTTCTCTCAATTC